GGATCACATCCCCGAATACAATCTATAAACTAGATACCATAAGGAACATTCAGTTAAAGTTTTTAAGTATTTGGCAAAGTAGTTTCAGAGAAGAAGATTTTTGAAAAAGTAATTATACTTTCACAAAAAATATGTAAAAAAGAAAACGTTTTAAGGGCAATTACTCCTTAAGGGATCAATTGACTATTTTAATCATGTTGACTTATTTGTAGATCTTACTTAGCTGAACATTTGTTGCCATTTATACTTTCTCTGTATCTATTATAATATTAAAGAAAATAACCAAAAACAGTAAAATTTAATAAACATAAACTATTTCCAACAGTAACCCAAAGAATGGGTTGTCGAACTTGTCTGGAAATTTCAAAACAGATAGATCATGACCCATTTATCACTTTAACTCCTTTTCACCTTTGCTCTAACTGCTGTAGTTTTTGAGATGTAAGCCAATTACTGCTTTTGTCCCCTATGTTCTATTTTAAGCCATGGCGGCCATGTTTGTTGATGGATCAAAACTTCGGATACAATTTATAAACTAGATACCCTAAGAAATATTCAGTTAAAGTTTGAAGGTATTTGGCCCAGTAGTTTCAGATGAGTAGATTCTTGAAATAGTTTACGACGACGACAGACGACGGACGACGACGGACACCAAGTGATGGCATAAGCTTACAAGGTCCTTTGGGCCAGGTGAGCTAAAAATGAATGACAAGAATGCAAATATTTACCATAGCACAATAACACAATGACAGCATGTATAAGTACTGAGTCACGTCAAATGGATATCACCAAAAATAGACTAAGCAATAAAAGTAAAATTTACAAAGACAAATAAAAAAAATACTATTACACGTTATTAAGATGATAAACAACGTCAGCATCCAGAATCTATACTTCAAGACCATAGTGTATTATTTGTGAAGTTGATACGGAATATTTATCAACAAGGTCTTGGTACCTTCCGATGAACTTTTTAAGAAAAAGGACGAGACATTTTTTGACATACCCCTGGTTCATCAACTTTCTGCACAGACACTGGTAACGTTTTACAAAGTCTGAGTAGCAGCTACAACCTCTTGAATACCGAATAAGTTTGGAAAGGTATTTTTTTCATATGCAGGTGAAGTTGGTATATTGCTACTAAGGTGGGGGAAACTAATAATTTCAAAATTAAAATCGTCTCGTTTGTCATATATTCTGGTCCTATGATGACCGCGTATGTCAAATTCGAGGTATAAGTCTAAAAATGAGGCGGAGGAAGCCCTGTCTGTTGTTTCTTTAATTTCTGGTTTTGGAGGATATGTTAATGGAACCCTATCAGAAAAGTTTGGATTGTTAATGGAAAGAACATCATCAATATATCTGAATTTGAAATTAAATGATCTGGCTTCTTTGATCTTCTTGTTTTGGAAGTGTCTGAAGGAACTCCAACTCAAATGAAAATAAGAACAGGTCGGCAAGGAGAGACGCACAGTTCGTTCCCATAGGAATACCGACAATTTGTTGAAAAAGTCTACCTCCAAATTCAATAAATATGTTGTCAATAATAACCTCCAGCATACTGATCACTTGTTCCTCTGTGTAGCACGTTTTACCTTTTTGTTCACTATTAACAAAATATGCCGTATTGTATCCCAAAGTAATAAATTAGTAGCGTATGCTACCAATTTTATGTTGAAAAGCATTGTTTATTATTTCGTTTAGACGATTTTTTAATTTCACATGGGGAATGGTGGTAAACAGGGTTCAAAAATCAAAAGTTTTGATAGAATTTATTTCAGAAAAAGATCGAGATTTAAAATTATCTAGACGTTCTGTAGAGTTTTTTTTTAGAATCCACATGGTTAATACCTCTACGCGAGTAATCAGTTTTACATTATTTCTGAAGACCCGCTTTCATTGCGGACAGAATGTTTGTCAATCTAATGAACAATTCTTTATTCAATTAACTAATGAAGAGATAAAAAAATGAATATTTAGAAATTGACAAAAATTACAGAATTTTATTATAATTGTTATTGCTAGTGTTTAACACACAACACTCCAGGAAATCTGATTCGGGACAGGCACAAACAAAATGTGGCGGGGTTATACTAGTTTGCTGGCGCCTTGTTGGTTGACCATTATGGAATAACTGCTTCACAGATGACGACAGATATGTTTCAATTGTCGTAACCACAATCCCGTCTTCTATTTCCCGAATTGGTGCCACACGCGAATCAGGATCGGCTTACCATTCCAGAGCACACACGATCACCGCCAGTTTTTTAGTGTTGCTTAGTCTTTAGTTTTCTATATGTGTTTTGTATACTGTTGTTTGTCTTTTGATTGATTTTTCTTTTTTATCGCATGGCGCTGTAAGTTGTTTTCGACTTATGAGTTTATATATCCCTTTGGTTACTTTCGCCTCTCTTCTTCAGTCAAAACTTATATGAAATGAACATTATAACCACAATCCGTCCTCATTTTTTACATCACCAATTGCCACTTGTCACCAATGTTATGATTGAAAAGATCAACACGATGGTTTCACCAGCATGAACCGCTTTTCTTTCAGGTACCTGATTTTAATCCCGGTTTCGGTGGATTCGTGTTGCTCAATCTTCTGTTTTGTGTTTCACAATCTGTTGTTTGTCTTTTCGTCTTTTTTTTTGTCATGCCTGTTTTTTTCTTTGACTTACAGTTTTTGCTTACCCCTTAGTACCTCCTACTTTTTCCTGATTTTCTGATTTAGAGTGAAATTGGGTAACTGAGTAAAAATAACGGCAGTATAGTTATACGAAAATAAAGATAAAAAGATTTATTGGTCCATTTAAAAAACGTAGTCCGTCATTTTCATTTCAAATTCCTTGGAAAATTGTTGATCTATAAAAACTGCACACAATTTTCAGTTCTGACATGATAACGTAAAAGCAAATAAACTAAGTTCTGACCTGTCTTTGATGTTGTGTCAAAGTTAAATTACAAATATAGATTTAAACAATCGATATGAATCTTTTGAAACAGATGAAAGTTAGAGCACTTAACCAATTCAACCCCTTCGCAAGAGCCAGGAATCAGTCTGATCTGTACCTTTAATTTTATATTCAAAAATATTCACAATTCGAATACGAAGTTATAACGGACAAAGTATCGACTATGTTAAAGTAATACTAGACTAGATGACTTTTTCTCGCAATTAATCATATAATGTTTGTAAGTACGTCTTAAATATAAACTACTATTAAATGTGTCAATGAAATATATAGATTTGTAACTGCTTTGATTTTCGTTAATATACCAGAAATATAAGGAATTCCGAACCCGCGACTACTTAAGGAATAACTGTAATATTTTTGCTGTCTATGAAGAAATAACATCAAAATTGTGGTGCAAAACCGGCGTTAAAAGTGTGCACCACATTTTTGAGGTTATTTCGAATAGACAGAAAACAATTAAAATAAATATTACTGTCATTCCTCAACATTTAATTTTAAATTCCAATTTTAAGGAGTAAATCATTGAAAAACTTTAATGACGTTATGGTCACACGAAAAACTCATGTCTATGAGCTGATAGCCAAAAAAATGCCAATCAGAAGACGTGTTACATGTAGATCCAAAATTAAATTATCATAGCATAACAGTATATAAGTAGTCATAGTTCGAAACGAAGCAACTCCTGGTGTGTCAGCTTGCTTTTAATTTTTCATTCAATCATGCTATATTCTTATCTCATAGTAAGTACTACAACCAAAACGACGCAAAAACTCGAATTCATGTCAGAGGGTTGAAAATGTACTTTTACTTGTACCCGTCTACGTCCAGTCTATGTTTTTGTTAGATATATTTCTATTTGTATCATCTGATGAGTTAAGAATTTTCAACTGATTTATAGTTTGTGTTCTTATGTTTTACTGTTACATCATTGTCTCATGTTAGGAGGGGGTGGCGCCTTCAAACTAGCTAACCCTGCCACTTTCTTTATGTGCCTGTCCCAAGTTAGGAGCCTATAATTCAGTGGTTGTTGTTTGTTGCCGTGGTATATATTTGTTTTTCGTTCATTATTTTGTACATAGATTAGGCCGTTAGTTTTTTTCGTTTGAATTGTTTTACATTTGTCATTTTAGGGCATTTTATAGTTGACAATGCGGTATGGGCTTCGTTCATTGTTAAAAGCTGTACGGTGGCCTATAGTTGTTAATTTCTGTTTCATTTGGTCTCTTGTGGAGAGTCGTCTCATTGGCAATCATACCACAACTTCTTTTTATATTTTATGATCTCTAACATGGAGAATATTTCGGTATAGGTGTAAAATAAAAAGATGTGATATACTGATTGCCAATGAGACAACTTTACACTAAAGATAAAATGATGTAGAAGTCAGCAAATAGAGTACGTCCTTCAAAAATAAGCAAAACCAATGCCGCATAGCAAGCTATAAAGGCAAGTTAACATCAGAACTAAAATACTAATTTCAAAACAAAATCATAACAAAATACAATACGTTGCTTATTAAAAGATGGAAATAGTCAAATATCTATGAGTCGTCTATGTTGAAAGGAATGAAACCTCCAAAATCAAGGATTATAATTTCAAGGCTCCAAATCAGACAATTCATATACAATAGATATAAGAAGATGTGGTATGAGTGCCAATGAGATAATCTCCATCCAAGTCACAATTTGTAAAAGTAAACCATTATAGGTAAAAAAATGGAAGTGATATCTCCTAATCCAAAAAATTGTGAATATTCTACACCGTCCGTTCGTTGAGTCCCAAATTTGTTATGACTCCAAGCGTTCAAACAACGGGAATATATAGTAAACTTTCTACAGTCTTTTGCAACAGTATCAAGTAATCGACTAATTTGTCATGGCGATTATAAAGGTTTTGCACTGATGATACTAGATTAGGCTAAAACTGTGAACTCTATAACCATACGTTTTTGTGTTAGATAAGTGTATATGCGTTTGAATCTGTTTCCCTTCTGTTTAAAATACATATAAAATGAAGCAGAAATGCAGATTAAATTTTATTAATACGATGTTCTGAGGTTATACATTTAGGCAGATATATAAACATAAAGAGATACATTTAGTCATATTACTTATAAATTTGTATTACACAGTCTGAGAGGTAAAACTTAAAAAAAAAAAAAAAAGAAAAACATTTTACGAAGTTACTTGAATTTGAAATCTAGATATATGGATGAAATCTATGAAGTTACTTGGAATCTAAATATATCGATGAAGTCCTCTGTGCTCTGAAAAAAATAATAAATAACTGTTAACAAATAACAAGCGCTAGAAATAGTAATTATCTATATTGCATCCGATTTGTTATTATTGAATGATAGAACTTATTAGAAAGAAATATTTCATCATGATCAAAATCTGTTCAATTTTAATTTTTCTTTCCTATATTACTCAATTTATGAAAATTTGTATTTGTCAAACCGTTACGGTTCATACAATTTCTAAACTTTTATTTTATTTTACTTATATCTTTGTTGTTTTACTCTTTTAAAGCTGTTATTTTCTTATTTCCCGAAATCTTTTTTAAAAGAGACAGTCATAACACGTGTATGTTTTTTTAGTATAAAAGTCAAATATCATTTTTTTTAATAGACATTTTGCATTCTTTCTTTCATGAATGTCCTTCAATCAAAGAACTGTTTGATATAATTGCAATACTTAAGCAAAACAAGCAATATGTAGGAATGAATAAAATGATTTTATCAATAATTTATGAATTTCGTGCGTCCGCGCGCCGTTATTTTCTAGATTCATCTTTCTGGATTTCAAATTTGAAAGCTAAGGATAAATAAATAACTGCAAAAATTGAGGAGCTAAAAGAAAATCACAATTTCCCTAAGATTAACCTTGCCTGAGGGAGTTTGAACCTCAGTGTTCTAATAATCAAGTGTTTTTTGCTTGTTCACAATACTAAAGTGAGAATAATTAAAGAAAACAATATACATTTGGAAAAACACTTAAGTTTACTACTTAGTATCTAATTTTTCGTAAATTTTCACTTTTGCGACATACTGAATGAGTGTATCTACGCATGTCGGGGTTGCATGCATAGCACGAGACGCTAATCCTGTCGATGAAACCGGTATCGCTCGCTCAGTTGAATGCACATGCAATTCCCTCAGGTATTGCATTTTTATCTTGATTTCTATGTATTCTAAATGGATTTACCGATATGAATATTGTTAAACTATTGTTGAACTATTGTTGCCTTTTCAATTCAATTCACTTTTTAACATTGTTTCTTTGAGTTAGAACAACAGAAGGGAAAGTTTCGTTCCCTTCTGCTTGTTTTATTAAAGACACAGAAATAATCCTTACTTTGAAAATAAAAACTCGATTCTAAGGGTTATATTCAGATCTCCATATTGTGTAAATTCTTGTCATTTATTGACGTTAGGTTCAGTTTTATGTTTTTATTTTGTATACAACACTCATGTGCATCTTTATCGTATTTTCTCAAATTCATTTTACATCTTTGTTCGTTTTTAACATTCAAATTGCCTTTGAATTAGTATGAATATGTTTTTTTTTTATATTACTAGTACTTTGATTGTAATTTCTATGGAAGGTTTGGGCAATATGAAAAATAAAGAGATTGACATACAAGCGGGTGGTCGGTACCTCATATCTAATTTAACCATCTATCTCTTAGGAAAATTCTGAATGCCACACGTTAGCAATCAATTCATATGACGTGTTATAAAGTTGTACTGTTATATATGACTTTTGATGGGAGGAAGTTGCTTATCAAATTAGGTTCGAAATTATTGTGTACTTTAGAACATTTGCTATATAGCTATATCCTTTTTATAGATGATTATTTAAATGATACATAACACACCTGATAGTATATATTTAAGCATTACAACGACCGATAAAGTCACATGTTAACTTCTGTTGACACCATTCGGTTCCAGGTGGACATGGCATTATAAATGCACCTCCATTCAGGTCACACTGGAGGAAATGCGTTGGACAGCTAGTTCCGAAGTATAGCTCTACTGGATCTTTTACTATACCGTTAGCACATGTGTCCTTCAGATCTACAATGTTAACAATGCGGCCATTTTTATTTTTCATTGGAGCCCATATTGTTATGTGAATGACAGCCATAAAATTATCGACGAACATTTTTTTTTGTACAATGAGTGTTTTAAAATTTCAGACTATTGGCAAACAGCAAGTGGCTGCACGCCGGATGTAAAAATTGCTTACACGCTACAACTCAATATCAAGCTACATACCAAATATAAAACCAATTCCTCTCATAGAGACCAATAAAACTTTAACGAACGTTTTCTTCCAAAGGACTTTCGGATGGACAGACGGACTGACAGACAGAGTCGAGCGGTTACTTGTCCTGCTTTCGCCGTTGGTGACTCAGTTGAAAATAAGAGCTCTCAAAATTGTAAAGCCGTACAAAAACCCATAAGTTTTATATTCCTATCTATGTATACAATAAGGCAACAATATATAATGTTAATTTAACCTCAGTCAATGCAAAATAGCACACACAGGTACATATATCTCACACTGAGAATTATTGAGTATGACAAACAATGATTATTCAGACATTGCATGGTAAGTATAGTAAATAGTATATAGTGTCCGGCGGAGATCGTGAATCAGTCCACTTTTTCGAGTGTAGCATCGGGTTTTTTCGTACTGCTATTACGCAATGATAATAGTTTTATTCATGACTGTCCATCTTATTATGACTACTATACATGTTTTGAGCACAATATACACAATTTCGTGGTATTAATCTAAAATTCAGTGTTTTGCATTGTCCGTGATTTTTTTGAGAGCAACAATTAAAACGTCCAGGTTTTTCAACAAATGGTCCGGGTTTTTTTTTTTAAGAAAATGTGAATACGAAATAAGGTATTCTTGACCTTAAAACTTGACTTTTTCTAGTTTAGAAATGACTGTAATCAAGTGAAGGACAAAATTATATATTCACAATAATTCACAAAAAAAAACATATTACAATGTTGATCAAATTTAACTTTTTTCAATTTAATGACAACTTTCTGTTTTTACCATAACCTAGCAGTATTACGATATAAAAGAAATCAATGGGTACGTTTTAAAACGGTCTTAAAAACCGAGTACAGGGACTCATATTTTTTTTATTTCATTGCATGCTACCTTTGTTTTGTTTTTACAGTCAATAATATTTTATGATTGATACATATTACAGTGACAAAAAAACATAGGAGCAAAAAAACTATGGAAAAGGAGTAAACAATCAGAAAAATTCAATATAAAACCATGCAAATATTATACTAAAAGAGGACCCCCACAAATAAGAATTTAATAAATTACAATAACATTTGAATTGAATGTAATATCTAATAAAAAATGAAAACAACACTTTACAATTTTATCTTATATGACCAAAAGGACCTAAAAAAATCGCCAAATCCATCTAAGGTCAGCTTTGCCTGATGGAGTTGAAACTTTAGCCTCTTTATTTTTAAATTTATAAACGGACAATTCTAAATGATTCATTGTTGGTTGCTTAATGTCCAGTGGCAAATGTGTCGTGAATGTTCAAGACGAAAATAAATTAATAATAAATCCAATAAGTAGGTCCTGTAACAGAGGAAGTTCGAAAAAAAGGTCAGGAAGTTTAGACTGCCACTGAAATGAGAGTATATTGGATATGGACAGACATTTTGCCTTGCAGAAGGCCACCTACGGACCCTTCAAAGAGCCGTTGCAAGGGTTCTCAACGCGCAATGAGCGTAGCACTCTCTCTACACGCCCTATTGTGACCGGACGTGGATGCGTTCTTGAACATCCCACACAGCCAAACGGACGTCCCACTTTGGCAAGGGTCGGTCGGAAGAGGACTTAAGTGATCATATTTCCCTTTCCCTGTCCCCCCTTTGAGGTAAATAATTTTAGAAAGGTTTGTTATAAATCATGTCAATACCGTGGTACTGACTACTGACAGAGCTGATCTTGTCCAATGTATTCAATAAACAACGAAATAAATAATCTGTAAGCTTCAATACGATCCTTTTGATATAATAATAGTAAAATAAAGAATAAATGTGTATAAAATATGCGTTCACATTAAAAATATACATTGTCAATTTTTTTAGCTACGCTGGTGCTTTATTACTGTGTGACCAAGCATAGCATACGCTTGATCAGACTCCTCTTCACAGAAGGAGCAATTGAACATTGTTCTTGATTTCCATTTCTAGAACGATAAAACATCATTTCTTATGAAGCAAGGATCTTGCAATCTGATTGGTTAATTACCCGGTTTGAAAATAACACCCCACCCTAGTTTTGAAGGGGATAAAAAAGTATGCCAAAATTTCCAAAAAATAAAATGTTTGCCAAAATTATGAAAATCAGAATTTTGGAAAAAATGATAATTTTACACCGATGTTGAAAATGCACACGACTGCGCCTCTCAGGATGTATATATTTTCAACACCGATGTAAAATTCTGTACACTCCTGATTACACCGAGATAGCTTATATTTCCATCAAGACAAATAGTAAATGAAACATTAAGGATATATTTTACTGAAAAGAAAAAAAAACATTTACCCGCTTTTAGTCCAAGATGTCTGAACTCACATAAAGTTTGTTTGCATCAATAAATATTTCACTGTATGAAATTCATATCGGTACACTAACATGAAGATTTTTGAATGCAAATGAAGGATGACTTTTTATGAAATGTAATTGTTAATACAGCATTATCAAACTGGTTTAATGCATTGTTTCGTTCTTTGAAAAGTACTTTATTTGAACCTTATCATTATTTTTTAAACGTAAATGCACTGACACATCTTAAGCCGTAGGAATTTTGTTTTTTCACTCGATAAAACAAGGACACACTCGAAAAAAAACACGGATTGCGCTCAAAAAAAAACCACAGACATTTAAAAATGAATAACTTTCCAAAATGTCCTTTTCAATGCAAAAACAAGAAATTTTGTAAAGTGTCATATATCTAAGTATACATAGATTCCATGTGCAAATTTCCGTTGACATTTGCATTGGTAAGTGTATAAAATTGACTTTAATCTATATTTTGGAATAAAGCATTTTAAGGCTATATTAAACGTTTTTAGAACAAAATAATTTAGGGTTGATAATATCTTTTTATCAAAATTATTAATTTATCTTCTATGATCTTGTATATGAGGTTATAGCATCATTTTTTTCACTTTTTACCAGAAAAGAAGTCTGTTTGTTTATTTTTTGATTATATTCACTCAAAAAAAAGTGGTCACACTCGAAAAAAACCCGATCAAATCACTCGAAAAACCTCGACCCCAGCCGGACACTATACCAACCGTGTATTGGAACTCGTCTTAATTATCTGTCAACTCACCTTCTGGGTTTTCAGCCTCCGTGCAGTCATCATTGAGCATGATTAAGTCATCTTCTCCATCTCCAGTACCCCCACCACCTCCTCCATCATCTCCACCACCATCTCCTCCACCATCTCCTCCACCATCTCCACCACCTAATCCACCATCTCCCCCACCATCTCCTCCACCATATCCACCACCATCTCCACCACCATATCCCCCACCATCTCCACCACCATCTCCACCACCATCTCCTCCACCATCTCCACCACCTGTACCACCACCATCTCCACATCCTCCTCCACCACATGTACCTCCACCATCTCCACCACCTGTACCTCCACCATCTCCACCACCTGTACCTGTCCCGTCTCCGTCAGATCCACTTCCATTTGAATCTGAATAAAATTGAGAATGGAAATGGGGAATATGTTAAAGAGACAACAACCCGACCAAAGAGATGATAACAGCTGAAGGCCACCAATGGGTCTTCAATGCAGCGAGAAAATCCCGCATCCGGAGGTGGGCCTCGGCTGGCTCATAAATAAAAAAGTGTACTAGTTCAGTGAAAATGGACGTCATACTAAACTCCAAAACATATAAATGAACTAAAATTAAAAAACATACAAGACTAACAAAGGCCAGAGGCTCCTGACTTGGAACAGGCGCAAAAATGCGACGGGGTTAAACATGTTTTGTAAGATCTCAACCCTCCCCTTTACCTCTAGTTAGTGTAGAATAAAGAAACAAAAAGCAATACGCACAGTAAAACTCAGTTTAAAAAAAGTCCGAGTCCGATGTCAGAATAGGTAACAAAAGAAACTAAGCAAAATGACAATGATAAATAAATTAACAAAGGACTACTAGCAGTTACTGACATGCCAGCTCCAGACCTCAATTAAACTGATTGAAAGATTATGTCATCCATCATATGAAAATCAAGCACAATCCCTCGTTAGGGGTTTAGTATCATACCATCATAAAATATATGAGAAGAACATAAACTGTATCATGCCAACAACTGGTTTTAGAATACATGTGTTTATTTCCGTTGCAAAGACCCTATGAGTGAATCAATATCAATACCAAAATTTGCAATCTTAATGACCTGACAACAGTATCGTAACTATATCCAAATGAAGTCCAAATAAATAAAAAAAATATAGGGATTTGTATAAACTCGTACATTACTAAAAAGGAATTTAAAAAAAGAACATAGTGAATAAAGGAACATGTATAACTTAGTAAATTTTTAGTGGTTGGTTCTGTTGTTACGTTGTTTCCCTCTTTTAGTTGATGTGTTTCCATCGGTTTTAGATTGTTATCCGGATTTGTTTTTGCTTATTCGAATTATGACTATTGAGCAGCGGTATACTACTGTTGCCTTTATTTTATGTAATGATATAGTTTTAACAAATAGAGTAATCGACATCGTTATAATGTGTGACTATTATATGAAACTTTTAAAATTTCGGTTATCTTGTGAATAACTTTGATATTGTTATATAGCTTAATCAATAGTTCTATTGCGAAAGAGCAAAGGAAAGAAAAAAACACGTGTCATATGTGCCAAAATGCTCGCGAAACAGCCAACGCCATGGACAAATGAAAAGAAGGCAAACAGTTAGAATAACACCACACAGAAAAAGGTAAGTAACATTAACCCCTTTCGAAAACAGGGAGAGATTTCTCAAGTTCCCGAATTGGTATATAGTGCTGAATCCTTTAGAAGCATATATTATGGTACCATAAAAAAGTAACATACTAAATGTTCTAGCAATAGGAAAATATATCTTTTATAAATAAAAGAGTGGAGAAAATTTACATTCACGAACAAGCTGTAAATAGTCATAAAAATGCATTGATTACAATTTTGAACGGAAAAATTCTGCACAGTTACGTACCACCAAATGGGTAGTAGCATCTTGTTCTTGTGAAGAAATACCTTTTCTTCCTGTAAAAATAGTAAAAGGTGTAATACCACCAAATCATAGTACGTCACATCCGGTTGCATACGAAAATAGGTCGAAAAAAAATATTCCCTTGAATTTGACAGTTGTAGGTAATTGATCCTACATTTCATTGCAGTAAAACATTTCTAAGTCATAAACATATATCTTGGGTATTTCAAAGCACCATTATTTCTTTATTTGGGGTTTCTATAGAATATTTTGGAAACTTGAAGTTACATGGTTACTAAAGCGTGTACACAGGTTAAAAAAGGGGGAAAATTTGATTGATTAACTTCCAGTGATGGTTATTTTCTTATATGCAATGAAATGTTATGTGAAATTTTTTCTATAGTACTGGACAGGATAAATCTTTACTCATGCCAAGTATTTCTTTATTTGAAACAAAGATAAATTCTGCACAATTTTTTGAAAAGTGCAAATTTAACAAAGACTAATAGGGGAAAATCAATGGTGGTATTACACCAAAACGATAATAATTATCGCACATTTAAATAACTGTATTGACGAAATATAAATATTGTTATCAAACTGGAAAGTTACATACATATATGAAGTTTTCAAAAAGATTATCGTTAACAGTGATATATAACACCTATTCATAGCGGTTTTTTTTATGTTAAAGCTGTATAAATACCCTGCCACGTTCAGTCTGATTTGTTGGATGTTTTTCTGCTGCTTTGTATCAATCTGATGAGCTAAGCCTTTTCCACTGAGTTTTAAAGTTTGCTCTTATCTTGTGCCGTAACGCCACTGTCCCAGTTTAGTGGGGTTTAAACATGTTTAACGCCGTCACATTCTATATGTGCCTATCCCAAGTCAGGAGCCTGTAGTTCAGTGGTTGTTGTTCGTTCATGTCAGTCATATTTGTTTTTTGTAAATTGTTTTGTTACAAATAAAAGGCCGTTAGTTTTCTCAATTAAATTGTTTCATGTCGAGGTCTTTTAAAACCGACTAAATGTTATGTGTTTTTTCTCATTGTTGAAGACCGTACGGTTGCCTACAGTTGCTTTCATCCACTTTATTTAAACTTTGGTGAATAGTTGTCTGATTGGCAATCATACCACATCTCCTTATTTTTATATAAAAGAAGCACGGAGCTGTACTATTAGATCATAGTAATCGTTTAAATTATCAGAAAAACTCTTAAAATAGCAAGTACCTCATATTAAAAAGTTATACTATAATTCAACTGTTCCTTCAAGTATATGAAATTAGTTAATACTTACGTTGAACATGTCTTCATTCTTCTTTTTCCTTTCGTGCACCTGGTGATTATCTTCACAGAAACACGTTTACACTGGCATCGTCTGTAAAATTATACAGCGATTAAAAATACCATTGAAATTCATCTTCTGGTTATATAAAAGTGAGCATAGTTATAGCTGAGAGGAATGATGCGCTTTTTAAATGTGGGATATGGGGATAAAAAGTGGGATCTCGGACAAAAGAGGTAAAACAGTGAGAAGTCGGAAAACAATACAAAAAAGCGGACCTAGAAAATGAGCACCTCTGTGTCACCCCCTCATCATAGTTGTTACCAATCATTCCCACATTAAGATTTTGAATGAGTTTCTACTGTCTGTGATGGGTTGGTCTATCGAGCACAATCTAACGTGGGTCGATGAAACAAAAATGTCAAATATTAAAGATAATTGAAACTCGTATATTTTAATTGTGGGAGGTGGTGGCCAAGCGTATAATCTATAGTTATGTTGCTGTTAAATGAGAAGATGAACTTCCAATGGGTTTTTTTAATGGATCGTAACAATCAAAACAATTGTTGAATGTATTTCTGTCTGTGTATATTCAGACATTTTATTCAGCTTTACTTTCAGGTATGGTGATGCTGTTTGACCACACTAAAATACATACATACAAACTATACATCTTACCACATTTAGCAATGATTTAAAATTAATCAATTGTTATAAAGAAATGGAATTCAAGGATTATTAAATAAGTTTTGTCATGATGGATAGATATTCCCTTATATTATTCAGAGGAGAGAGAGATGATACAAATGGTATAATTGAAAACCATAAGTCGAAGGAAAACAAACAACAAACAGCCAATAGTGAACTCATGTGGTCCGGATAAGTAACAATATCTGCTTCATCATGGTAACCGTCGTGTTGGTCTTGACACATAACACTCAGGTTATAAATTGCATTCGTTAGTGTCATAATTGATATTTAATGGCGGGTTTGTGGATACAATACTGAAAAATGTCTGTTCACTGGTGTTAATATGTCCTTTGATTGAGTTAAGCTATTTCAGTTGATATTTTATAGTGTGTCTTTCTATGTTGTGATGTTACACTATTGTTTCAGAAAAAGGACGAAGGTTTGGTACCATTAAAACGTTTAAACCCGCTGCATTTGTTTGCACCTGTCCTAAGTCAGGAATCTGATGTTCAGTAGTTGTCGTTTGTTGATGTGGTTCATAAGTGTTTCTCGTTTCTCGTTTTTTATAAAGATTAGACCGTTGGTTTTCCCGTTTGAATGGTTTTACACTAGTAATTTTTGGGGCCCTTTATAGCTTGCTGTTCGGTGTGAGCCAAGGCTTCGTGTTGAAGACCGTACTTTGACCTATAATGGTTTACTTTTATAAATTTTGACTTGGATGGATAGTTGTCTCATTGGCACTCATACCACATCTTCTTATATCCTGTTGTCAACTGTCCGACAGATTTTCTATAGCGGTCAACCAAATCATGATATTGTCTGTAAACTTTCAGAAAAATGACTTAAACTTAACCACTTGCTCTAAGAATCCTTGTTTTATGACAATATTTAAACTTTTACAACTTATCATCACTTAGATTTCAGAAATCAAATTCTTAGCAGGCGTCAAAGATCTACATAGTTTTTACCGTTTCTTTTTTCTTCTGCCTTTTCCTCCACTGTAAAAATAAATTTATCAATATACACATGAAATATGCAATAAATGTTTGAGTTTAAAAAAACGACATCGTCTATCTCGTAAAAGAAATGGATTTTTAGTATTAGATATATCAGTTAAAATGCAATTATGAAATATGTCAGTGCTAATATAGTTTTTTCGATGTATTTTTGTTGCAATTAAATTCATCTCCTTTATTATTAAAAATGTTTCATTTCAATTTCCTTTATTTAAAAAATTATTAGTATATGAAGTACCAAGGTGTTAGTACGTTCTATTATGATATTGACATTTTTTTTTCGTTTGAGAAAATATTTCTATCATTTGCTCTAAGAGTCCTTGTTTTATGACTCCAAATTTTGATATGCTTGTCACTTAGATTTGTAATAGTAAAAGTTCAATGATAAGTTAATATTGATATTAAAAGACCTTTTAATGTCAATATTAACTTAATTATTGAACTTTTACTGACTTACAAACCGTCAAAAAACGTAAGAAAAGTACACAAAAAAGACTTGCAGAAATCTAATAACCCTGAATTGGACGAGTTAAATATATTCAACTTAAATGATAGTTAAACAGTACTCAGACTGATATATACAAATAACAGTTACCTAATTGCATTGGAAACGGACCAATGAAATGACAGTACATCATTTAATTATTTTTTTATTATAGATTTTTTAGCATTAACATACCATCATTGGATAGTTTTATAAGATTAAGGGGTAAACTTATATTTTTGAATTCCAACTTTTCAAAATAACGATTTTTTATTTTATAAATGAGTAAATCAAAACCCTGTGCAGACCTCATTTACAACTGACCAATGAATGTTCTGCACAGAAACTTCTTGTTATATATATTTGATGTTTTTAATCTGCTAGTAATCATAAAATAGATTCATAAAGACCAGACATGAAATGAAATTGAAATACAATATATTATATTAAAATAAACACTTTTATTTTAGTCGTCCGTCATTCCCTTTTCATGTCTAAATGAAGTAAAGGCACCTTGAAAAAAAACCCTTTTACCTTTCTTAGTTTTATAATCGCCTGACATAATCATATATTATAAATCGTAATAAAACAGTAGATAAGAACCATAGTAAAAAATATATTGAAAGAAATTTGTAAGTATGTCTTTGGTTTGACCCGGCCGGGGATCGAACCCACGACCTCCCGCACTCGAGGCGAACACGCTATCACGAGATCAACGAGGCGGTCCTTTGGTTTTGATTAAAAGGAGAAAAAGGTATACATTAATGCGAAAGCAACCCAACGACACAGACAAATCAAACATTAAGAGTCAATATACAGTCTTTTGTAATAGAAAGATGCCTATGCAGAATAATAAGCTCAAAACCGCCCCATGACTAAAAAAAAAAACGGATTTATTATATAATCTAATAATATTTAACGTTAAAGATATCCCAACAGGCACATTTGATTTAATATTAGTAACCGTCAAAAATACCCCAACAGGCACAAGTGTTTGGTTGAAAAATATCACCTGTCCTTTTTAAATTTCGATCGGTGGAAATTAAAGAAGGTATTATATAAACCAGTAGAAGAAAAACACTTCACTGTATAGTAACGGTAAAATAAAATGCATATTCAGGACGATAACATGTAAATATAATATGAATATTATCCCTGCTTTGTACTAGATCGACACGCTGAGCCGGATTTTTAACGTGTAAGTTCACAAGCTAACAGTTCGCAGGAAGAAAAGTCACCCTACCAGGATACATTTCTGACTCTGAGCCGACCAGTCTGTGCTCTTACTCTTAAATGCCGCGTGTTTAGCGTTGAAACAGCAAATACCAGTTTAAACGTCTTTGCTTGACCCGGTCGGGATTCGAACCAACGACCCCCCACTCCCACGAGACCAACCAGGAGAGCGGTAGTATAGAATATCATACCAACAACTCAAGTACAATAAACAATACAGTTTCACAGAATGCTCAAAGTTACTCAAGCGAGCAGAAAGTATTTAACCTAAATTAGATGCGTTAAATGATATTGGAAACTACGCGTAAATATCGATGGACGACTTCAGAGTAGATTTCATGGATCAACGCTCTCTGCAAATTAAAAACTCTTGCACCAATTATTTGAGGGGTCCGGATGTGGCCAGCTGTTGCAAGGCTAAATTTCTATCCTTATTCAATATACCCCTATTTTCCAGTGGTATTCCAAGTATCACGTCCAACCTCACTGTCGACCTTCTATTGCAAGACCTTGCAAGACCTACCCATTGTATTTAAAATTCACGTGTTCTCGTCTTGAAAATGCATGAAATATTTGCCACTGGACGTAAAGCAAACAATCAATCAATCAACTTTATATAAATTATTCCATGTACATAGTACACGAATACAAGAATTTGTAAAATGCTTAAATGTAAAATTTCCATTTAAATCACTCAAAAAAAGTGCAAAATTTTATGGTTTTTTTTATTGTTTTTGTTTTTTTTTTTTTGCAGTCTACTACATAACTGAACATAAAATTGGTATTTGTTGCTTCTCCATGCACTAAGCACGCGGCATTAAGGAGTAAGAGCAAAGACTGGTCGGCTCGGAGTCAGAATAATGTGTCCAGGGTAAGGTGACAAGGATTACTGCGGACTGTTACCTTGTGAACTAGCACGTTAAGAATCTGGCTCAGCGTGTCGATCTAGTACAAAGCAGGATTAATATTCATATTACATTAGAATGTTCTCGTCCTGAATATGCATATTAATTTGCCGCTAAACGTTAAGCATCCATCCATCATCATCATCAAAACCAAAGGATTGAATTGGGTAGAGAAATATTGACATCTCTGGACTTCTCCCGTCCGACAGTATACCCTTGCTAAAGGGGAACGTCCGTTTGACTGTTCGGGTGTATAAATACACAGCTTCGTCCGGTCGAAATAGAAATGTCGTATATCCGATGCCTGTTGTAGTGAGAGTTTCACGCTATCTATACGTTAAAGAACCATTTGAATAACTCTTTGAGGGGGACATACAATCTACGCACAAGTTAAATAATTGAAATCTCTAAACAACAACAAAGGTCAGCTAAATCTTTAAATAAGTCCCATGGCTGATTTTAACACATTTTTGCGCCTTTTGCATGGACAATTGAATATGAAAAAAAAAATGTAAATAACAAAACCGATCAGTAAGACAATATCTAAAAAATAAATGAAACTGCCAAAATAAGTTGAATCCTTATATATGTTGTTGCATACATTTTTTATTTATTTTTGCTTCTATGACTACTATACCAGATATAGAAAAAACTTGAAACATCAGATTTTGTCACCTAGACGAGACTGCCGTCGTTGTACGCTTCAATACATGTATATGTGTTATGCCACTCAATGAAGATTTTTGTTCTGTTCTATTCCCCTCCTCCTAGTTTGGCTGGATAGGATACAATGTAACCTCTGATGTGGACTACGTTATTTAATGTTAAAAAAAATAAATGCAAAGAGAAAAATGAGGAAAGAAATGCTAAAATTTACGCTTAAAAAATCAAATATAAATATAAATCAAATATATAAAAATTGCAAAACTGTTTGAGACAATTATCAACTGAAGACTACATCACTAAATGAAGCTGATTAGTTGATTGCTCCCTTAATGTCCAGTGGCAAATATGTCATGCATATTCATGACGAGATGCAAAGTGGATCGATCTGAAGCAAATGATAACAATTTTAGAGTGACACTTTAATAAGATAGAGCGTTGGCTAGATGTAAAAGGTATGCCGTATTAGAATAAAGTTGAATAATGATCAAAATCTTTAGCTATTATTAGCTACCCCCCCCCCCCCCCCCCTTTGTTTTTCTCCAAGGAAGACGAATTAAGTAAATGAGATATGGACTTATTTCGTAAATAAATTCCTATTGCAGCCAACATTTCCCGATTTCGGACAGGTTTGTATCTCCACTCAAATACCGTTTGATTATTGACCGGCGATATCAAATCAACCAAAAGCACTTTGATTCTCTGAAATTGTAAATTATGGTATTTCGCTGGCTGTTTTTTCCCGATCATATTTTGGACCCCCTGATTCTAAGTGGGCGTGTATAATTAGTCATGCCCGATTAACTGTTAGTAAATTGAACCTCAACTTAAAGACCTACAACGAGTTAATAAGTTCGAGGTACAATAAGTAAACAAAAGAGATCCTTTATGAAATGAGATCGTTCCAGGTGTCTTAGATAATTATTTTGCGTTAAATAACAATGGAAAATGCATGAACAGGTTTGTAATAGACATTTAATTCTGAACAGGTCGCAAAGATCTACATAATTTTACCGTTGCTTGTGTCTTTTGCCTTTGCTTCCACTGTTAAAATAGAGAAGAAAACTTCATAGTGATGATGTAGTTTTTTATGATTTTTACCACTTTTCACAATCTGTGGATATTAAATCAAAACTATATATATTAATTATATCATTTTACGCTAATGTGATAGTGTTTATTTTTAAATTGTTTTATACGTAGTACAAAAATATAAATTTAAACTTTTCATTAAACATTAAATGTTAAAGAAATACTTGTTCCTGAAAGATTAAATACAGGTCTTGTACAGTTCTTGTTGAAAGTTAAATTATTTTGTATATATATATATATATATTACCTGTTGCTTTTTTTAGCTGCAGTACTGCTGAAATTGAAACAAATAATGCTTTAGTGAGGTATGCAAACACATAATGCTTTTGTGATGTATGCAAACAAAGATGAAAATGTTAAGCGCTTTGTGTAATCTTGTAAGCTTAATGTCACAAATTTATATACAAAACTGGTTTGTGAAATTGCTATGAATGTACACTGAATGACGCACTTACCTAGTTTGTTTTTCACCTTTCCCTTGACTACCAGGACTTTTTCTACAATTCAAAAAAGAAAATAATGTAATCTCCAATACGACTTTGTTCTTATAAGCTTGCATGGATCTAATAATTATAGGTGTCAGACCACCAATTCAAAATCCCTATCTATTCAACCAAATTTTGCAAATTTCACAGCTTTCTAAATATTTTACCTTAAGTTTAACTTCATAGAAACCCGGTATATCCTGAATTGCACATTTATCATCTTTCTACATGACAATTTTCAACCTATGTTTAAAGTCTTCTAAGGATATACTAACATTCGGAAGACAAGTACTGCTACAAATAACCCCTGGTTTTCTGGAAATCTTAAATAAGTTTACTATGGAGCTCATTAATCCTCAATTTTTAATGGACAAGTAAATTTTGGCTCAAAATGGTCTACATATATTTTTCTTTCAAAAAAACGTTTCATTGGTTAGTTTAAGTAAACAATGACATCAAAAGCACTATTTTTGTCAGGGAAGGGCTTCTTTTACATACGTTCTAAATTGGAGTGGGTGAATTGGTAGTCTGACACCTATATCGTGATGTTTCGCATCCGCCTGTATGAGGTATAAATATCTTTTACAGTTGGTATCATTTTGTCTTTGATTGTAAGAATTGATATTAATATATTTATTTACAGTTTGAGACACGACTTAGACTTTTCTTTTTATTATACTGCAATGCTTGAGGTTTTGCTCTTTGCACTACTACATTAGTCGATATTTGACTCTAATTTCATTTTACGGATATGTCTTTGAAACTTGATTTCAGTCAATCCGAGCTCTTTTTAGCGCGGTAATATCTCCTGTTGCTCTATTTCCACCTTTCATTTTTATTTCTTCTGCTTTTGTTTTACTTTTTTATCTTCTGAAATATGGATATCATCATAGATTAACCTGCTTCCATTAACTGATGTATATCATTATTTTATTCTATATTGTGTACTTTTTGCTATTCCTTCGAATTTAATAGGACAAAATGAGATGTTGAAAACTCCAAATTCCCACAATGGTAAATATGTGCCACTTTGAGTTTAGAGAATTTACATGAGCCGATGATTAATCGTTTGGCGATGTAGTGACAACCACCATTCTGCTATTGTATGAAGCTGAATCAATCAAAGTATTTTGATTGGAGAAACAACGGCGGATGAAACTAGTGGAAGCTAGGGAACTGCCGGTCCTTCCTGAACACCTGGGTTCATTCCGGTTTTTGTATTCAGTTATATTGGCAAGTTGTTAGAAATTGTACTACTAGGCAATGGCTACAGTTCCAGAATATCTATTATTTTTTATTATGATCAACAGACTTAAGATATTAAACGCGTACATTCATTTTCGCTTAATGCTCTTGTAGCATTGTGACAGGTTCGGTTGCTTGGCGTGGATATATAAACCTACATTTAAAATTATTCTGATCAACTTTTGTAAAAGTTGCCTCTGTGATTTCAGAGTATAACTTGTTTTGTAAAGTTAATGGCGGACGACATACGTTTTGATGGGAATAATTGCCAAAATTGGCAATGAGAGTACAAAATATAGCTTAAACGAAAAAATGAAGTAATAGCGGGCAGCTATGACTAAACAGCAAAGTAAATATAAATGTGTTGTAGAAGGTTCTTCGCTTCAAAGAAGCAATATACAAGTAAAAAATAAAGGCACAATCTGTAAAAGAACAAAACTTCAACAAAATGTATGTAAGTGTTTCGATTAAAAAAGGAATTTAAGAAAATATAAGAAACTCACTCGCTATTCTCACTAACTTCTGTCCTGAAAAATAAAGACAATATATTTAACTACAAGTATAATTCGAAATATCAATGCTGATTAATAGTTGATAACCTTGATCAAACTATTTTGGAAAGTCTTTTCGTGATTTTTAGTTTCATACATGTAGTTCCACAATTGGAAAACGTTACTTTTATTCTACTTCGCTATACTAGTGCGAACATACAATTATCTTAATAATGTGAAAATAAAACAAGAAGCAAGTCAGGATGAGAAATCGCACTGATCAGTTTTGACATACCTATCCCGGCTTGTAGTCAAGAGCAATAGGAATGAACGATGTAATGATTTGAGCTACTTTACTAAAAATCTAAAGTCTGTAGTAATCTTGTACATGTTTTAGTTATCTCACTTGATGCACATATTTCTATCTAAAAACTTTAAGTTGGTCTGCTATATAAATTACCTACATGTACAAATCGATAGTGATAAGTGATTGCACTTTAAACAGCAAAAGAGATTACTAGATTTTTCCGTTATGAAAATTTCATTTACACGTTGAAGCAGTCATGCAAATGACCCCAACCGAATAATTGGTATATATTACTCGGTTGATACTATTTTCAAGCTTGTCACACTCTCTGTACGTTCAAGAATTCTTGCAACAGCTCTATGACTGAAAGGCTCATTGGTGGCCTAATTCAAAGCAAAATGTATTCCCCCATCTTACAGTGGCAATACGAACTTTCGTATTTTTGTACTAATTTTTAATTTGTTCTCATAAAATATTTGCAACTGGACACTGGGCAAGAAAAGAATGATCAATTAATCTATAGGCTAGATCAAATCACTATAGATATTTTCTATGGAATTAGTATTTTCTTCTGACAAATTTTAACTTTATGGTCGAAGCAGTTGTTTAAACTACATAAAAATCTTAGAGAATCCAAGACACATTCAAAATACTCACCCAGTTTGTATTCCTTTACCTTGTTTTCTGCCGCCTCTGTAAAAGTTATTAAAAAAAATAAACAGACTAAATAAGAAGAAAAGATTGGAAATAATCACCTTCTATTTATAACTCGTAAAAATTGACAACGATACGAGAGAAAATGTAAATTTACTTTAAAATGTGATAACCATCATCTCTAGCAAATGTGTTGCAAAATGAAGGATATGCAGACAAAGTGCATTAAAGTAAAAGGGAAAATATGATATTATATAATAAGAAAGAATTGATATGGGTATAGTTTATTAGTTTCATTAAGGTTTGAAAAATTATAAATGTTCTTCTTTAATTTTATATTTTTCATTGCATATGCTACTATGAGATTTGGGTGGGTTTTTTTTCACGTAACTATTATTTTAAATTTAATAAGAATTCAAAATTAAAGTTACAATGACAAATAATTCGTTACAATTTTCTTTTGACCGATTATGACATGAAGATAATAATACTTTACAGTGGTATTCTCCTTTTTAATATAACTGCACAAAGCAATTGAAAATTAATCAAATTACAAACTTACAATACGCTATTTTAAATTTGATCTAAATAGATCCTTTTTAAACTCGACATGCTGCACTGTAATTGTCACATTACTTTACGGGTATTCAAATTTTTAAATAAACTTTCTATAGGTTTTTATAACTGTTTTTGTATTAATGTATGTATTTTTTGTTTAAACAAGGCAAATATTCATTCAACAATGACATGTTTTTTTCCGATTGATTTTTTTTTTTTTTTCAATGGGAACAAAAAACGTTGCTACTGACATTAATACAAACGACTGCATGGGCTGAAATGTTAATTAACAAAAGTGGAATATTTTAATTGTAAAGATGCCAATAATTTCATATCTTCAATGTACCAAATATTAAGCTTATCTATAAATGATTATTGATTTTGGGTACCTACTATTATGTCAAACAATTTCAAAATGAAATACGAAAGGACTGACAAAAAATGCTCAAATCTGTTAACTGTGGAATAACAATATTGAGTTGTTTATATTACTTGGACGTTTTTATTTTATCTTTTCTCTTTCGTATTTCATATAAACGCATATTTTGGTTGATATGGCAGTAGATATTAATGTAGAATATCACAAGTATTCTTTTTTTTAATATTGAGGCTGATTTTCAAATTGAAATTTTACAGTAAAAATAAAAATCACAGAAGATCAAAATTACGTTCTGTGGCCGTCTACATCAACAGTGATGAAAGTGATCACCAACAAAATACAAATTGATGGTAGTTGTAATATCTTGAATGCTGCCAAGTTCAAGTCAGATCTGATGCCAGAAAGGTTTATTTCGAAGAAGAAACTTAGAAATAGATAAACTTCACTTTATTCAAAAAAACCTTTCGGAATATCGGGTCCTCAATGCTTTTTAACTTCGTACTTTATTTGGCTTTTTTACAGTTTTTGATTCGAGCGTCTCTGATGAGTCTTTTGTAGATGAAACGCGCGTCTGGCGTACAAATTTTTTATCCTGGTATCTATGATGAGTTTATTTAGAAGAAAGTTAATTTTAAACTCAGATGTGAAACAGTGACATGATATAGATCTCCTTGTGTTCAGACAATGAATTGATTAATATTCTGTTTACAGTTAGTTCCCTGTGATTTTTTTACAAGTATTGAATTTCCAAAGATCCTTAAGTAAAGCTTTTTTTTTTATTTACACATAGAAAACATAGAATGGAAATACTATGTTCAAATTGTCGATCGGATTCAATATAATTAAAAAAGTTGGACTGATGTCGATGTGTCTTTGAATTTTTCCCATACATATGCAAATGTCCACAAAAATAATCATTTATCATTTTATAACTATCATACCACCAAATTCCTTTTTTTATCTTTTAAATTAACAAACAACCCGTAAAGGCTAGCATACGAGATAGAAGTCAAAAAAGTTAAAATGTAAAGACATATTGAAACGTAACACTTGCATTAACATTATGATCATTATGCAATAAATCAAGGTATTTCCATCTGACTGAAAGTATTAAAAAATATGTAAATATCGTATATCATTTTCATTTTTTTAGTCACTAAAATCTTTAAACTTTGAATGTTCCAAAAGTAAACTGCCGGTCCAACTAATGTGCACATTTTCATTTTCAACACTCTTACCTGGCTATGTTTAAAATATTTAGGTAAAATAGTTGGCACAAAAAGTTAAACACTTGTTTATAAAGCTTCATATATTAAGCGTACACATGCAGTGGGTGTTCGAATTATCATTTGATATCATTCAATTCTGCATAAGTGCATATACAATCATGCATATTTGACCAAGAAATTAATACATTTTGTTAAAGTAATTGACGATGTCATAGTTACAAGAAAACTTCGGAGGAATTTATTCAAGAATAGTTTATCCTAAATCTTTTGACTTTATTGAACTGCTGGCCGTTTTATCATATTTTGAAAACCTTAACATTTATAATTTCTTTTTTTCTCTTCGAATATCCAACTTAGGAAGTAAACGGCTTCGATACTGTGAAATATTCGGACCAGACTTTGGGAATTATGTCCCTAGCTTGTTTTCTTGGCGACATTAATTAGCGGCCATGGAATTGTTTCATAAGTAAATATTTAAACCCTTCCTCGTCGACGTCATTCTTTATGTCCGGAGTACAAAATTGTAAGCCAGGTATCATTGATGACTTTATATAACATTTTCAATCCCAGTATATGTGGTGCACGACAGTTAAACTGCAACCGACCAACACTATAAATTCAGATAGACATCAAGTAGTGTAAACCGCTTTGATTCAAGGTTAAAAGGAAGTAATTAAAGATGACTGGCGCCACCTAGTTTTTACATCCAAGATAAACGGTAGAAGTAAATTTATTTTCTGCTGCACTGTTAATTAGAATTCAAAATTGAAATAGTTGGAAATGAGTGTTGGCTTTTGGTGTAGAAATAGCGAGAAATTTGGAGGAAAATCTCTGTGACGAGAAACATTTTCTGTGCAAAATTTAGCAAGGGGTGTTGTTCATTCATACTATTTCGAAAATTCCGGAACCATAGAGTACCCTTAAACAATGCCATTTTTCTATCAAAAAAGCTGCGGCACAGTATGTGTTTTGCAGTTTCATTCACATCCAAATGTGTTAATAATTCAGAATTTGACAGTTTTATCAACGGATCTTTTATAGTAAAAACGCAGGACCCAAAAAGGCTATCATTGTCGTCTATGTAAATAATTACTTCATTTTAACCTAAAGTATAGATAACTTGTGAATAATTTATACGAAAACTACAAAAGACGTGATGGCTATCCTACATCTCCTTTCATCAAAAGACCTGCCATAAAACATCATATTCCCTAAAGAACAAAAACAGATAATATTGATAAACCAAAATGAAAGGAGAGGAATATCTTGTTTTTCTTCTTCAAAATACAAATTCACTCATTTGGGATTTGGATGCCTTCCAGCACAAAATTTTACAATTTTACAAAAATACTTAAAATTGCAAATACTCTATCAAAAGTGTCATTGAAAACATGAAGCACTGATTTGTAAATGGATATTAATAAGATAAGATACGATAAAATATTTATTCCAATTAAAGGGCCCATGATGAAAAAAGTATTTTTTTTTAATTGAGAGACACAAAAGTTTTGAAAAATATATATAAAAATGGACCTTATTTTATTATCTTAAGCCACAGCCAGACCAGAGCCATAAGTATATATTTTTAAAAAAGTGACAAATAAAACAGATTACATAAATTATTAAAGGTAAATACTATGAATGGGTTACATACAAACATATCTGTACCATATTGCTAGTTTTCTGAGTTCAAAACATTTCTTAATATAAGTTTCAATAACTTTCAGTTCTTCTAGGTTTTCTGGTATAAAAAACTAATTGAACCTAGCACTTGCGTTTATCACTTCGAATTTTGACAACTTATCACAACTTTTTTATAGAACTCTTTTCATAAAAGATTTTTTTAATACCAATGATATAGATGGACATTTTTTAAAGTTATAATATTATATTCATATTTCAAAGTGTCAAGTCATTAACTTTCAAAAATAGAGTCTAAGCAAAACAAATATTGTAGAAGGTGGCTGTACCTCTTTAAATTGTTAAGTTTAAATGAAATATTACGATAACTATACCTTTTATAGCCTTCCACTTCAACACTGACGACAATAATAACCAATAAAATACAAAGTATTGGAAGTTTGGACATCTTGTATCGTTGCCTTGTGGATCAAGACTGATGTGGAACTACCCCAACAAAGTAGTTTTAGTTACAGTTTAGGTTCGTCATAGCCAAAAATTCTTTTCAATATGATTACAAATAAAATGCAAAAAGAAAATTATTCTACACTTAATTAAATTTGCACACACTGTTGGTTCCGTGAAATGACAAAGTTATATATGATAATATTTTTTTTTGTCATGTAAATTGGAACTTTAACTTTATATTCGCAGTTTTTTTCAAAGTTTCAGTGATGTAGCATTTCTATTTTCATAAATTTAAAAATCGATGCAAAACGGGATTGAGTTTTTCAAATTCAATGAAATTGAAGTCTGCTAAAGTTGTTTCCCTTTCACTTGATTTTTAAATAGATCTTCAAATCTATCATTGTTGGGCTAAATTTCAGACGAAGTATTTACATACATTGTATATATCATCTACGACTAACATCCTTCATCGGAAAATAATAGGGTTATACAGGGCTTAATTGTAAAATCACAAATTACACATTCTTCGTCTGATATTAAGCCCAACAATGTTAGATCTGCAGATTTATTTAAAAAATCAAGTGAAAAATAGTAATTTGTTAAAGAAAAATGTCATAAAATTTCCCATCTTTTAAACACAAGAATTTGCCTGAAAATTTATATTGCCAAAGAAATAATTAATTAATATCATGCTTAAAGGGGCATTAGCTACGAGATATAAATAAAAATTAAGATATGATTTTTTTTTTTTTCAGTCATTAATGAAAGTGAAATAGTGATATAATAATTCTCTTTTAGCAGCTAATTTTGTTCAATTTTGTCAAAATAAGCTCAGAAACGTTCCTGGTGAATTATTCACTTGCAAGTGAATAATTCGACCCCATTGAATCCGTATTCATGTGAGCTTTAATTTAACCCCATAGCTGGACATGAGTTACGCATATTCAGCTATTAAAAGGAAAAGAATGTCAACATTGAATGTAAAACAAGGATTAACCATTTGGTTGACTCATTCGATCCACAAAAAAAAAAAATTCTTATACAGGTAACAACGATGATAAACATACTTTTTAACCTACAATAGGAAATCAAACAGACTAAGAAAAATCCCATTACACAATATCTGTTTAAATTTATATTTATATGTTTATTTCGGGTTATATGACCGTTGGCAGTCTTCGGAGGTCATCTCGATTGTTAGTTAGATGACGTCTAGACAAAAATACACACGAAATGTTGATTACATATTATCGAGTTCATGCATTGTTAATTGTTTATTTTAGACTTTTTGTAATTTGGATATACGTTTTAGTATGATATAAATCAAATATGAGAATTACAGTCAAATCGGGGACCATGAATTTGACAGCTAATGCTCCTTTAAAGTTCCCTGTAAAAATATGACAAGTATTGAATTTCCGTAGTTTATAAAATCAAGATCGATATTGTTTTTCATTAAGACCTAAAAAAAGGCCAAATGGAAAAAGTAATTCAGTTAGATTCATTCTCATAAAAAATTAAAGACTACTGGCGATGAGTATTTGATTTTTTTCTTCAATGCAAATGTCGTAGTGTATGCCTATTTAATCGCTAAATTCCTTTTTCGAACTTACAAAAATAACTAACGAACAATCTGTAAATCGATAGGATACGAGATTGGAATCGGACCAGAGGAAGTCGGTCCATACCTGTTTTCAATGTTATACAATATAAAAATACAAAGATGTGGTATAATTGCCATGCAATGAGACAACCTAAATAAATAACCAAAATATTAAGATAAGAACCGAATAACAGGTCACGGTACAGCCTTAAGTAAAATATTAACCGTATAGTATATTAAGCTATAAAAGGTCCTGGGATGACAAAGTGTGAAAACTTAAGAACTACAAATTTGACATTTTGATACCATACTTCATTGATACCCATATAACGTACCGGTGTGAACAAGTATAAATGATTTACTGGCACGTATGTCATATTAAAGCATGATGTGGAACTACCCCTACAAGGATGCACTGCCTTTAAGTTTGATAACAAAAGAAATTCAAAAAGAAAAGAGATTTCACTCGCTTTAATTTGCACACGCTGTTGGTTTTTTCCAAACCCACATGAAAAACTTTTATTCTATCAATTTCCTTTTGTAACGTACATTGCAATTTAAATTTTCTTTTTACCGTTATTTTAAGTCCAGCGGTGTTGCATTTATTTGTTTAATGATTTAAAAATCGTTTTTAAACAAGATTTAGTTTTTCAAATTCAAAACTCATGAAATTGAAGTCTACTTGAGTTTTCTCATTTTAATTTTTAAATAAATCTGCATATCTAACATTGTTGGGCTAAATTTCAGACGAAGTATATAAATACATTGTATATCATATCTGTCGATTGCCATTTTCCATCGGATAACCTAATAGGGCTTCATTGTAACATCACAAATTACACATACTGCGTCTGAAATTTAGCCTAACAATGTTAGATCTGAAAAAAAAGGAAATAAAGCTATATAAAAAGTATAATAAAACAAAAATACCTAACTCCAAAGGATATTCAAAACGTAAAGTCCTTTATAAAATGGCAAAATCAAAAGCTCAAACACATCAAACGAATGGAAAACAACTGTTGAAGGCCGTACGGTTGCCAATAATTTCTTACATCCACTTCATCTTAACTTTGGTGGAGAGTTGTCTCATTGGCAATCATACCACATTCCCTTACTCTTATATTGGTACAGGCATTTCCTTATGTAGAAAATGGTGGATGAAACCTGGTTTTCAAGCGAACTTAACCTCTCACTTGTATGACAGTCGCATACAATTCCATTATATCGACAAACATGTTTGAGCAAAACAATCAGACATAATAGGTAAAAATATTAAATATATTATCTTTCGAATACTAATAAATCCTTTTCAGTTTGCATTGTCCTTCGTTACAAACTTTGACAAACCACTCATACCACATCTTTTTATATATATATACAATTTTGTTTCAAAATGCCTTCAACTGCAACATGTACCTGTAGCGATGAAGAACTTTTTGATTATATGGAATTGTGTAAAATTGTGAAACACTATTTTTATTATATGAGATAGCCTATCTAATACTTAATTGCCAGTAGGATTTGACAAATTTAAGAGTTGGACCCTGTGAGTGAAACAAATACAGGGGAAATGGCCCAACTCTTTTGAATAGTAAAGAAAATATGTGCATTTTCTTTATAAAAATTCAATCATTTAATTCACACCCTACAACTGACCCTAATCATTTTGATTAAGACCATGCATCGCTGCTTTCTTTAGCCCAAACAGGATGTTTAGCATTTGTATCTCTAAGTACACTTCTTCAATGAAATAGGCTGTTAATTTGTTAAGTTAAATGAATATTATCGAAATACCATTTATTTCGGGTTTTGAACAGGATGTCTATTTATTTCCTCAATTAAGTTTTAATACGTCAATTAAACTGGTGATACTTAAATAAAAATCAATAGACAATATGTGTAATGTTCAGTACTAAATTGAAACAGCTATGATGCGGATTTAAATGTACAATGTACACCTTGGTGACAATGATACATCATGGACCGTCCGTCAACAAGAGGGTACACGATATATCCTATGTATTCGTATGCATTCTAAAATGAATAAAACAGAAAGACAATAACGATAATTTGGTCATGTAGATCAACGCTCAAATGTGACCCGCCATAACATTTCCTGGTTTATGGAGATATAACGTCATTGTGAGAAAACAAATGCCGTTTACTACGAACGTTACGTCAACTTTTTTTACTTACAAGTTTATTTTACTGAATTCAAAGTCTGGATGCTTTTAAGTATTTAATTTGAATTATAATGTAAAGCTCTTCACTTAAGAAGGGACTGATTATAAATGGCAACATAAAGTTGAGAGATTCTGTATATTTTACTCCTCAAAACTCTTTTGTCTCAAAAACATGAAACTTTTAGTAAAGAACCTTTTTCTACCGTGTTGTGTTCAATGGTGTATTGTACTTCACAGTTATTTATGTTTATTAAATATCAATTAATGATGCTCAACTACTAACTTATTTCCACATTTGTGTCTACTGTTAGTATCTGTCCTGATTATGTATTACAATATTCATGTGATTTTTGTCGCTGGTGCTTATACTTGGAAGACAATAATAGGTTAGTACGTTAATCGAAAACCGGCAATGGTATACATATATTGAGCCCTAATTTTACAAACGATTATTTTCTACTTGTGGGAAATTTTCAGAAAATTAAAAAAACATCCATGCTATAACATTTTCAAGATTTGTTAAAAATGTATCAAATTGAGATTACATTTTCCGATTTAAGATCACTTTAGACAACTGTTTAATCTGATGTGTTACGTGTATCTTCGTGAAAAACTGTTTCAGTCATTTTCTATGCAGTGGTATAAATCTAAAGAATTGAGATGTACAATTATTTTCTAATTTTCTTAATTGATTATTTCTAAGAGAGCATCTGTTTAACTGTAAAAGAAGTAAGGGGTTTTTGCGATAAACATTTTTCCGCACAAACAAAAGTGGTGGGCTTACGGTCCAATTCGACTACTGTTTTTGACAAGTTTGAGTACTCTTCTATGAGATGATTGAATTATTTTGAACATCATATGCTATGTTGTTATGAACGAACAAACAGCAATTTTTATTTTATTTTATTTTTTAATGCAGCCACTGCAGTTTGTGTTTTACCTAAATAAACATAAAATACCTTTTGCTGTAACACTTAAAATACATACTGACCGTTTCATTGATAACCAACTTTCCAAAATATTTGATTAAATCAGATATATTTTAAGTTATCACTAACATCACTTCAGTAAGTTCGTTTTCTTTTCAGAGCATTTTAATGATGAAAGATTTGTGTATATGTAAACATTTGTTTGGTCACCAAAACCTCACCAATGATGCTTAGTTCTCAAATTTATTTACCAAACAATGTATGAGTAGCATGAGAACAGCTAATGTAAAGAATACAGCGATACACTTTCATGCATGTAATATTACGATATGTAAGGGTTATTGTTTTTCAAAATGATGAAATCTCTCTGCAAGTATCTGATTTTATCCATCTCTTTTGAAAATGCTTT